CAAAAGCGATGATTACCCATCATGCATTCAGAAGTGATGATTACCCATCATGCATTCAGAAGTGATGATTACCCATCATGCATTCAAAAGCGATGATTACCCATCATGCATTCAAAAGCGATGATTACCCATCATGCATTTAAAAGCGATGATTACCCATCATGCATTCAAAAGCGATGATTACCCATCATGCATTCAAAAGCGATGATTACCCATCACGCATTCAGAAGCGATGATTACCCATCACGCATTCAGAAGCGATGATGATGATGGTGATTACCCATGATGCATTCAAAAGCGATGATTTCCCATCATGCATTCAAAAGCGATGATTATCCATCAAGCATTGAGAAGCGATGATTACCCATCATGCATTGAAAAGGGATGATTACCCATCATGCATTGAGAAGCGATGATTACCCATAATGCATTCAAAGGCGGGAGCTATCCATTATTCTCACCTTCTCCAAGATCATTAATTCTTACATCTCCAAAATAAACTCTGCAACACAATCCAAAATTTATCATAAATATATCAAATTTGAATAGTATCTAAACCTTCCCTTAAAGAGGGTATCATTAATTCTTTATGAGCACAGTTTGCTATAGGAACTTTTATCCTTCACGAGTTTGTAAGGTTTCATGTGATAGGAGAAATAAAACAATGCTGTTTGTTTCTTCGTTCTTAAATTATTGTTTTCTTTTATTCAACAAATACATGTAGCTAGTAGTAAACCAATCAGAAAAGATCTTGCAAAACCATGAACGGCTACCCAATAGGAACAATACACAATAGAAACAATGTACACTGTGAACAATGGACAATTGTTACTATAGGAATCAAATAATAATATGATTATTGAATTATTTGTACCTGTAGCGTATTCCATAGTCAATTCCTTGCTTCCTGGCCAGCCTGTATGCTGGTGTTACCCTTGTCACTGATACCAGGGATTTAAGTAGCATCCCCATACGGTTGTAAACTGTGAATGTGATCTTAGCATGGCTGTCTTTTCTGGAATGATGATGATGATGATAATGATGATGATATAACTGTATCCCCCACTTCATTGCAATTACTTGTCATTCATTTAAACATCCCTTCTTATTCCTCCCCTTGTAAGTACTTGACCTGACCATTACAATCCTTCCCACCCCTCCCCTTGAGAGTACATGTATGTGTTGTTCATTATTAAACCACTTACTGATCCTTCCCCTTGCAAGTAATTTTTGCTCATCATTACATTCCCTCTTACCCCTCCCCTCCTAAGTACTTGCTGATCATCATCATATCTCTTCCTACCCCACCCCTTGCAAGTAGTTTTTGTTCATAAATTACATCATTTCCAACCATTACAACCCTCCACTAGTGTGCAGATGTTGCTCATCATTACATCCCCTCCCACCCCTCCCTTGCTAAGTACTCATTGTTCATAATTACATTCTTTTCCCATTATTACAACAACCCTTCCCACCCCTCCCCTAGAAAATACTTGTTGCTCATTATATCCCTACCCACTCCTCCCTTTACAAGTACCTATTGTTCATTCCAAGACACCATGTCTCCAGCACCATAGACAGGCATGTCGGAATAATGCGCGGATGCGGACGCGCATAATTGCCCCCTTTCCGCACAATTTACCAAATCGCGCATAATCCCGCATAATTCGTGTTTTTTTCCCATGTTATACCATTTTTTAAGATGAMTTGCCTTCTACTAATGTTTTTTGTGGTCCGTTGACTGTTTTTTTTGATCAAAAAACGCTTCCAAACATGCTTATAATTTTCCGAATACAGTTTTGTTTTCGTGGGCTTCGCAAATGTACCAGGCGTTCAAAATTTCATCAGAAAAGAGTCTGGGCACTAGCATTACTGGTCACCCTGTGCCTTACTAGATCACGTAACAAATTCCAATATGGCGTATGATACAGGGATGTAAAGCGTGTGAGAATGAAAAAGTCTAAAAAGATCTTTCCTTCTGTTGATACTGCCTTCTGTACTTAGTAACTAAGATAAAAACGGAGTTTTTCATGGGAAAAAAAACACAATAACCTAAATATATGTAAAATTTCCCAAAGTTTACGTTCCTGTGATGACGTCATCCCGCATAATTTTCCGCATAATTCNAGAAAAGATCTTGAAAAAACATAAAGGGCTAGCCAATAGGAACAATACCCAATAGAAACAATGTACACTGTGAACAATGGACAATTGTTACTATAGGAATCATATAATAATATGATTATTGAATCATCTGTACCTGTAGCGTATTCCATAGTCAATTCCTTGCTTCCTGGCCAGCCTGTATGCTGGTGTTACCCTTGTCACTGATACCAGGGATTTAAGTAGCATCCCCATACGGTTGTAAACTGTGAATGTGATCTTAGCATGGCTGTCTTTTCTGGAATGATGATGATGATGATAATGATGATGATAGAACTGTCCCCCCCCCCCTTCATTGCAATTATTTGTCATTCATCTAAACATCGTTCTTATTCCTCCCCTTGTAAGTACTTGACCTGACCATTACAATCCTTCCCACCCCTCCCCTTGAGAGTACATGTATGTGTTGTTCATTATTAAACCACTTTTGATCATTCCCCTTGCAAGTAAGTTTTGCTCATCATTACATTCCCTCTTACCCCTCCCCTCCTAAGTACTTGCTGCTTATCATTCATATCCCTTCCCACCCCACCCCTTGCAAGTAGTTTTTGTTCATAAATTACATCATTTCCCACCATTACAACCCTCCACTAGTGTGTAGATGTTGCTCATCATTACATCCCCTCCCACCCCTCCCTTGCTAAGTACTCATTGTTCATAATTACATTCCTTTCCCATTATTACAACAACCCTACCCACCCCTCCCCTAGAAAATACTTGTTGCTCATATCCCTACCCACCCCTTCCTTTACAAGTACCTATTGTTCATTCCAAGACACCATGTCTCCAGAACCATAGATTCCCCTTCACTTGTTACAAGTGATATCTCTACACACATTGGTTGGTCTTTGCAGGGTAATCGTCCTTCCATGTTCTTCTTTGTCTCTGTGGTAATCTCTGGCATGTCCTCAATTGCCAGATTGAACTGAAACATAAACAAAGTGCACTATTACAGTTGTTTGAAAAGAACCGTCAGTGCACCTTAAATATGTATCGATGAATGTTTGTAGCGATGTAAACAATCTCATAAAAGCTGTGTTAAGGCCAAAAAACTTGCAACCATAACAATATCGTCTTCCTTTAAATTGTTATCTTTATTATATTATTTAAAACAATTTTGMTTCTTGTCTTATTTTCAGCAAAAAATTGAAGTCATATCTAAAAATACTTTTAGCATTCCACTGGAGACATATTTTAGGTGCTAAAGATTCTTTCAAGCGACTGTTGAACAATGAATGTAATGCAATTTTTGAAACCAAAAACTCTGGCAATAAATGGACAATGCTGTGTAAGTTTAATGCAAATATTTGGCTGAAATTCCAAGTTAAAAAAAATATTTTGTAACTTGTCTTCCTTGTCAATTCAAAGGAAAACTTAGATGAAGTTCTTACCCAGTGTTGGCTCACAGCAGGAGGTTTAGATGTAGTATGGATTTTCTCTCCATTTCTTGATTGAACAATGACTTGTACTGCCTTTAAAACATATAACAAACAATCTGATTGGCTGATGACCGGATACATGTAAAAATTATTTTTAAGAAGAAGGGGAACAGCAACAGATAGCAACACTAGGGCTTAAAAGTATTTGTCATCAACTGCTGATTGTTGCTTTATTTTTAGTTCTAATTGATTGACACCTGTTGATTGCTGTTATATGGGCTATTGTATAACACTGAAAATGATAACAAAACGCTCTTGTTYCTTAAGTAGTTTCAGCAGATCTGACAATGAAACACAATATTTTGTCTGCCAGTGGATTTGTCACCATAAACTACAAAACCTGACTACAAAGTTGACAATCAACTTAAACAGCCWTGTTTTACATCAGGGAACAAAGATGAATTTCTGAGTTTACATATCAAAATCTAGAGTTACTAATTCATTGTATTTTGAGGTATTATTTTATTTCTTTTTAATCTACATAATGTTGTGGTACATTTGATTTCATGGTATACAGATAAACAGCCCCAGAGAAAATCTGTTTTTTTTTTATTTTTTTAGATATAAATAAAAACAATATATAGCAATGCAATAATCATTTATAACAACAAATTAAGCTTATAGTGAAAAGCAGAAAACAGCAACAGCAAARCTATAAGCTTAAAAACATTCGTAACTTATTAAGGTTTAATATCAAAATGGTATCGCTCTAAGAACTCAACATTGACGTTATCTGACTTAAAATCATTTCAAATGAATGACACTTTATTTAAAAATAACTTTAAAATAACTAATTAAATAAATTTAGAATCAGTTTAACACCTTTTCTCAGTGATGACATTTCCATGTTATCTCGCTTACCTTCAAAGCAAGRAACTTCAGAAATTTCTCAAAATCCTTTTTGTCTTGAGTACCGAGAGTATGAACTTGTTGCTCCATAATGTTTTTCATTTATGATTTATATTATATTTAACTAAAAGTAACATTTTGAGATGAATTTAAAGTCAAATTTGAAGTCTGAAAAATATAAAATAAAATGTCGTCTTCCATGTTTTGATACAAACAATGCCCAGGAACGCGCTGGTTTTTACCACAGGAATCCCACGGTATGCACAGGCAGCCCATCTCSAAGTAMAAAGWCAGAAAAGGGAGGGTTACAGATCAAATTTTCTTACAACAGTCCCGTAGTTGTAGATTTTAAACCTTGGTGTTAAGGGGAAGGGGGGGGGGGGGGGGGGGGGGGTTGGGGTCCAGAGTTTTCCACTTCAAGAGTCTCTACTGTTACTGAATTAACAATTATGCTATATTCATGGAATGCTATGATCAAAGATGGCCGACCATTATGGAGCAAAGARGAAAGTAAACATTTTGACTCCATAACATGTAAAAAGCTGGTGTTTATTACTGCGACTTATTGACTATGTTTTACCAGTCATTTAGACTATGGTCGCACATAGAAAACCGAATATAATCGAGAAAAAGTTAAGAAAAGGTGTCTCTTTTAAGTTCATATTTCAAAATTGTCACACAGTTGGGTGGCTAAGACAATCAGATAACTCGATCGAGTGGATTTGATATGATCTGATAGCCATTCGGCTGTGTCAACTCGTAGTCCATTCAACCTCGTGGTACATGTATATTTATTCAAACTACACATGAAAATAATATTTTATACACAATTAAATAATCCAAACCAACCGCTGCACCTTTGCGAGCCGAAGCGCCATTTTAGGTGAAAACGAAAACAGCGATTTTTTTCGCAGGATTTGAGCACGAATCGTCTTCTATCCTTTCAGTTTGGACAGAAATACCTTTAACTAAGTACCTCACAGGTAATATCAATCTGTAATCTATTGTATGCTTGACGCATTTAAAACGTATGTAAATTGCACGAGCGCGCGCTGTATTGTGGTTTGGTTAGGATTCTTTAAAGCATGAAATACTTTTCAATAAAGCGTTATTTTATGTAATTCAATACCTTGTGCTTGTAAAAACATTGACTGAATAGAAGTACTTGATTGTATAGACAACTTTTTCAAAGGARTTGTCGAAGTGCTTGTTGARAGGTTCTCTGCACGMGAGAGACTGTTCGCGGTTTTTCTCATTCTCAATACCCTAAAGAGCTCCCTTCTAAATTTCGGATTATAAAATGCATATATAAAAGGTATCAATATGGAACTAACTCGCATCATTATATTAGAAACCATTTTAAACTTTATCTTGGTATTGAAATCGTCAATAAGACCAAATCCTGCCAGAAGTGGGTAAACGCCTGTCGGAAACAACCAAAGAAAGTAACTTAAGACGACAAAAAACAACACCTTCATCGCTTTTGAAGATGAGCTCAAGTATGATGTCTTTCTTTCTCTGAAACTACACTCCCTTCGTCTTTTTCTAAGGACCACCAGGATCTTTATGTGACATGATGCAATAACCACAAGTGGAACCACAAATCGTAAGATGAAATTCAGTGAGATTAGAATCGAACGAGGGACATGGTAGTCTGTCTTGCGTCGCAGAAGTACCGAAAATACTTTTCAGTTATATTTCTAATGTTTCTGTCTCTGCCAATTTTCATTTTTTCAACTGAAAATGGTTTKGTCAGAAAGCCCGTCAATAAAGCATACGTCCATACAATAAGTGAGCCTTTCAGTCTCCACTTTGCCATTATAATAAGACCTTGGAAAGGGTATGCAATGTTCACGAAGCGATCCAAGGCAATGCCAGCAAGCAAGCAAAATATTGCGCCAGCTAAGACATCAGATATTGAATGAATCGTGATACAAACAGCTTCTTGCATGTCATTTCCAGTGGAAAGGAAATAAATTGTGTTTATCATCAAATACAATCGGAATGCAACCTCCACAACACTGAGATGTAGTATGAAAAAGTTGGATACCACCTTCATGAGTCTCTTGGATCGTTTCATTACGATACAGACAAGTACATTAAATGTTATACCAGTAACACTTAATATAATCATTAACACTGAAAGAAACATGTGCGCTGGGAATCTTGAGGACAAAAACAGCTTATGTATACCCATAYCGGCTTCTTCCAGCTTCAAGTAAAAGTCGGTTCCTGGCTGAGGCTTTAAAATGAGCTTCTTGACTTCTTGTGTCTGAAGAACAGAAACTCAGAGTATTTAAACCTTAGGTTGTTAGATGTTAGAGCCGGCAGGACTACTCTAGAACTAGGAAAATTTATCTACAGGAGGAGCGAACGGGTTCATATAATTATTCAACACTTTTGTTTACCGAATTCAACATTGTGTTCGCGAAGTTCATGGTTCAAAAGTAAACATGTCTTGATTGATCTTTTTTTGTTCTTCTTATGCAATTATACCATCTTCTTGGACTTTCTTCTTCCATTCTTTTTTCTTCTTTGGAATCTCTTCCACATCATAAACATGCATAAATGTTGCCTTAGTCTTCAACCAAAAAATCCGCTTCTTTTTCATGTTCTCAGCATTGTTATCCATGCAAAATTAGTTCTTCTTCTTCTGTAATTTTGAGCTACAATGTTGACAATCTCAAAGCAAAGTAGCACCTTCCTTCTTAAAATAATTTAATTCTTTGCAAACGTATTTAAGGTTAAATACAAACCTTTATTAAAAAGATGTCTCTTGAGATATACTTATCCTGTTGTAACCAATGTTAACTGTCTTCGAAACTGTCAATCTGTTCAAACCAAAGCACTATTTGTAAATTAGAAGTGAAATTATGTAACGGTAAATACTTCGACACCGTTAGATATTCAAAGATTCCAAATGCCGGTTTGTTTTGAATGGACTGATGTCTGCTCTGAAGCAAGCTTTCTTTTGGGCATTCTACCTGTCAATTTGATAATCAGATATGCCACAAACGGAGCAGTTTAGTTGCCAGGGGGTCTTAAAAAAGCCTACATGAATTTAGTATTAATTGATTCGACCACAAATAAACAGTTTATCTTAATCCAGTTTAAGGATAATTATTCAACACTTTTGTTTACCGAATTCAACATTGTGTTCGCGAAGTTCATGGTTCAAAAGTAAACATGTCTTGATTGATCTTTTTTTGTTCTTCATGGAACTCGCTCTAACAAATTAAATATAATTACTTTTCTAAATAGTTGAGAGTATAGCCTGCGCGGCAGCTATGACATAGGGTTGCTATAGCGCAAGGCAATTGAACGGGCTGATTAGCTAAGTTATTAGTAGCACAAAAAGCTGATTAAAACTTCTGATACACCAAAAAGTCAAAGACTATTGCCAAACATCTTTATTGTATTACTACAAGAAACTTTCTACAAACTTAGGAGTTAAGCYTAGGCTAGCTTTGAGCTATTGTATGATGATTTTAGTCCACACAGCTAATAAGAAAAAATTATAGTTAATATTAACTGTATGTAAAAAATTGAGCTTTAGATACTGTTATAGATGTTATGTAATGATAATCGCAAATGYTTACGGTTTTTTATAAAGGATCTCTAAAAGATGTATGCAAATTTAATGAACAAAGTGTTTTAAAAAGTGTTTGTTCTTTCTTTCCCGGCCCTGAAATCACTAAATTACTGCAATTTAATGAGTATGCTAACGTATAAATCAGTCGACAACGGAGCGCGCGAATGTTAACCGCCATTTGTTGATTGGTACRGTTCTCCCTGCTGTCAATCAAAACTTCGATTTCATCGAGCGGCTATTCTCAAACCGAACGAACTCCGAAAATAACTGAATTAACAGTTTTGTTTTGAGGGAGACCTAGACGTCCGAAAACAAGCAATTCGGAATACTAGAGAGAAGTTTTTTAGTACTAAATTTATAGGGTTTTTTAATACTTACTCTAGTTGAGCGTTGAACAACCCGACCCAGTAGATACACTCACTTACTTTCGCTGCGCTCGAAGGGATCGATGGGAAGGATAAAGAGACCATGTCACATGTATCACTGATACAGAAGTAATGTTTTATTAATCAGGTCTGTATCAGGACTGAAAAGCTGAATGATAATCAGCCCCGCACTCCCCTGAAAATATTCAAAGCCGCCCCCAACTTTGAGCTTGCTGCACCTTTTATCCAATATAAAGGTATAATCACGTGATTAGATTCTCAGTATATCATTGGCTAATGACATTATGAATTATTAATGAGTTTGATGATATTTTGTACTATTTAAGCTTCATGGATTAAGTGTGTTCACTAGCTATTTTATCAACTTAAACCAGACCGGATTCGAACAATGTATCATTACGTAATTGAGTGAATGTTCAGATTTTCTTTTTCTGCCYCCGCTAGCGATAAACTTACTAAAAGTCACTTATCTAATGCGAAGCACATAGGCTCAAATATGTCTGCCTTGTATTTCCATCAGTGGAAATTCTGATAATCATTTCAAGGACATTTTAATTCACTAAAACTCAGAGTTCCTGATTGGATCATGAGATCACATCACAATAGAGTTTAATTTTATGCTTGATAACATTGCAACTAAGGTTRACCAAGTAGAACAGATGAAATCATAGAGTAGAGAGCCGGCCGGATCTTTTAAACACAAAGCGCTTACTTTTCCCAGAAGAAATATACTCGAAAGGTACTTGTATTCTAAATTAATTTTCTTATATTCTGTTGACTAATTGCAAGCTTTATGATTGATGATATAATTCTTTGTTAATTTTGACGATTTGTGCCATTCAACTTTGTGTGTTTACATGTCAAGCACTGACGTGGCATTTGGGCAAAGTCCAATAACGTTAGCTCTTAAGCAATTATTGACGAGTTATTGAATAGAAGTGAGTGATATCAAGTCCAAGCTCGCTCTCTCATTAGATTTTGAGATATCTAAAATGCCTCAATATAATATTAAAAATATATTTAACAATTGCATAATACAAGTCCATCTAGTCAAGCACGACTAAGTGCAACTTTACGTATATTTTCTTTTCATTAATTCTTCTTGTTTCTTTCTTCTGTCGCTGTTGTACGTTGCTGTCGCTGTTGTAGCTTTTTTTGTTCTTCTYATGCAATTATACCATCTTCTTGGACTTTCTTCTTCCATTCTTTTTTTCTTCTTTGGAATCTCTTCCACATCATAAACATGCATAAATGTTGCCTTAGTCTTCAACCAAAAAATCCGCTTCTTTTTCATGTTCTCAGCATTGTTATCCATGCAAAATTAGTTCTTCTTCTTCTGTACTCTGCTASTACAGGATGTTTTCYACCTCCTCTACGAAGAAGAAAAAGGAGTTTTAAAAAATCTTCGTCTCGCAMGCCAGGRTTCTAGTTCTCAAACTCTTCTTGTCTATCGTTSTTGCTTTCTTTTGTTGAATTCTTGCTGTCTTTYTTGCGCTTCKTWTTATCCTTTCTCTTTTCTTTKGGGTCTATTCTTCTTCGGTATCTCTGTTCTTCTATTTCTTACTCTCGTTTTCTCTTTTCATTTGTTTATTTACAAAAGTAGCTTATCAAAGTAATTTCTCTTTTTCAGATTGAACTGGAACAATATATTCAATGGCCCTTAATAAGCACGAAGAAAACGTRTCCGAGTTTTATTCAAAGATTGTGGACTTCAAACACGATTACAACGAAGGGTTCTTAACGTTTGGACTATGGAAAACCAAGTCAGGCGACCCTATACCACCCCCTCTRAGTTACCAGCGCATATACGACGAGCTCCTGGAAGGMAGCAYGATTAAACCAGATCACAACGTACTAGACGTTGCTTGTGGCCAAGGAGCTGGGATGCTGAGAATTCARTCCAAATATGGCTGTAAAATCCAAGGYATCGATATCAGCACTGGTAACGTGGAGCTTGCAAAACGAAGATTGCGTGACACCGCGATTGCAATCACGCATGGTAGCGCAACGAACATGCCATACCGTGACAACTCTTTTGATTKTATTGTTTGCGTCGAAGGTGGCCCTCACTTCAAAACCAAAGAAGACTTTTTTGCTGAAGCTTACAGATTGTTAAAACCAGGTGGGAAGCTGCTATTGGCTGATGTGGCAGCATTAAGGCCTATGCATGACTTAAGCTATCTACAGCAAGCAATTTTTACTTGTATCACTAACCTCTGGGTAATACCTCATGAAAATACAGAATACGGTATCGAGACCTACAAACAGAAGCTCAAAAACATTGGTTTTCAAATATCTAAATTTGAATTTGTTGGCGAAAGAGTGTTCCCGGGYTATTGCAGTCACAATCTTACRTTGTCTGTTATGCGAGCGCAGGCAAAAGTTAGGGGAAATTTCGTTGGTTTTCTAGCAGGACCACTGATTGACTCTTTTCTGAAAATAGGGTATTCTAAGGGGTTGTATGAATATCTTTTTGTGGCAGCCGAGAAAACGTGCTAAACACTGTCATTACCAGTTAGTATTGAATTCAAGATTCACGTCTCAAGACTCATAAACCGATGAGTAAACTACGCTCCTCTTCAAAATATTAACTAGAGGTACAAACATTAAATGTGTGCAAAACTTTCCACTATTTACTACAAAATAGAGTTAATTAAACAGTAGAGAACAATAGAATTAGCATAATTTAGCAGTATTTAGTGCTCACATTTATGCTGCACAGTTTTAGTGTTTGTACTTTACTTCCACTTTGGCTAATGAACTTATTCCGCACCTAAACTATACCAAACTCTTTACCTGAACACAACTTTTCAACTCCCACCGTGTTTATATCAGAGGACAGGGACACAAGAGGCCGCTTTATAATTCTTTTTAAAAAATTTTCAGTGTTTTCGAGCAATTTTTGCCGGTATGAGCCGTGTCTCTGTCCTCTGTTATATACACGGTCGTTAGCCAATCGGAGCGCGCGTTATATATCAAAAATTTTATAAATGTATATAGTTGTAAACGCAATGAATTTCGCCTAATAAAAATCCTTTCATTATTATTTTTATAATCATTTGTATAAAAAAAAAACAAAAAAACAAATCGAATTCTGAAAGTACCGTGTACTTAACCAGATACCTACACCCATCTTGATTATCGACAATAAATTATTTTCCTCGCTCTCTGAGACAGCCAGTAACGATCTTAAAGAAACTCATAATAGTTTGAGAAGACAGTGGACAAAGAACAGATAAGTCTTCCAAACAGTTTAGCAAATTAAACCTAACCTATCAAAAATCAGAGCATGCGCAATCTAGTTTAAAACATGTTTGGCCCACATTACACTTGCAGGGTTTTTTTTTCTGGGGACTAAGACTTCAGCATTTTTTTGTGTATTCTTGGTGTGCAACCACATGACCAGGAATCCCATGAGAAATAGCGAGCAATTAGCTATCTCCGCCATTTTGGATGAATGAACAAGAGAAACTAATGAGGAATGCTTTGTGATTTTCATCCAACATGACGGCGATGACGTAACTTGCACACCAAGAACTTTGACTATCTTTTATTCTGGTAATTAACTTTATCAAATGGTTTCCCCCTAAATATAAGTGCTGTACTCGTAGTATAAACACTTAACAATTGTTGAGAATTAGACAAAATAATATTTAAAAAAAATCATTATCAAAAATGACCTTATAGATTTTTAAGAGAAGAAAGTTTAATATAAAAATGATTCATAAGAGAAAAGATTTAAATTAAAAGCATTGATCAAGCTAAAACTCAATTATGCGTATAAATATAAGTGCTATTGATTCATCTCTGATTTAATTAATAATAGCACATTGTTATGCAAAACGTGAGTTTATAGCACTTAAGCGTACGTATTAGAGCCGTTTCGCGTCACTGGTGACACGTAATGTACAAACTGCAGCGAAAGACACAAGACGTTGTTGTTTTTTGTCACTAGTAAACAAAGGCAAAGTGTCTGCAAATCACCTCTAAAAAAGCACGTGGAAAACATCTACATTGCGGTATGTTGCAGAATTTGTGTATAAATGAATTTCTTAAAATACTGCATACTGAATTGAAGTGCAGTAGTGCAAATCAAAACACAAGTTTATCTAGAAGTTTATTTTTACATTTTAACTAAATTCTGTCATTACTAAAGCATTAAATATTCAAAAATATCAATAAAATGTACAATTTCAAGTCTTGTAGGAACAACGTTAACATTTTCTCATGCTTTCTTTAGTTTACTATAAGGTCTTTGCGCATCTTGTCCGAATTAGTTAGAGATTGGATTCTGAATATTACTCGGAAAGTGTTTTTTTTAAATAATTAAACAATTGGATCTGCATGCAAACTTTATTAAATTTTTTGAAATATTTGATATATCTAATTTAGTATCATTTATAGAAGATTGGGGAAATTTTCGTGTGATTGTGTGCCCAGTCTCTTTGCTTAATGTGTTGTGGGATAAAAGTTTTAGGTTTGACTAGTTACAATATGATCTGCTTATTAGATGATCTGGTCTCAAATCAGTGAATAAAGGGCTACGAAATCACCTCTCTGATCTTCGCATGCATATACAAACTAAGCAAAACTTTAATTTGGAATCATTTAAAAGCATTCTCACAATTAGGTGTTACATGAACAAATTTGTGTTTCCCAAAACCTGCTTCTCTCTTGATTGTTATCAAGTTAATCAGCCGTATAGTCCGCTAGCAATAAACAAGCTCGTTAATCTCTCATCAGGAAAGCAATCTTATTACACCTAAAAACACCTAGCTATCTTTAAATTATTGATGAACGATAGGCGTGGTAACACGTGCCACTCCTATGTCGCAATTCTTCGTTTTCACCATACGTCACAGCGGCCATCTTGGATGAATTTCAACAAAAGATTTCTCATTAGTATCTATTGTTCATTCCTCCAACATGGCCGTCGGTCTTTTATCTTTTGAATGTCATGGGAATGATTGAAAACGATCAATACACTGTGGCCCGATCCTGTTTGTGACGTCCTTGGCCTTCACCCCAAATAARGTAAATATACTGGAGATAAACTCTTGCCAATTGCCTAATGTATGCTAATCATTAAACCACAGGAATATACGATATCAAATCAAGATGGCACGAAACGAGCACGAAAGAAACGTTTCCAAGTTTTACTCACAGATTGTTGACTTCAAACACGATTACAACGAAGGGTTCTTAACGTTTGGTCTATGGAAAACCAAGTCAGGCGACCCTATACCACCCCCTCTGAGTTACCATTCCTTATACGACGAGCTCCTGGAAGGAAGCATGATTAAACCAGATCACAACGTTCTAGACGTTGCTTGTGGCCAAGGAGCTGCGATGCTGAGAATTCAATCCAAATATGGCTGTAAAATCCAAGGYATCGAYATCAGCACTGGTAACGTGAAGCTTGCAAAACGAAGATTACGTGACACCGGGATTGAAATCACGCATGGTAGCGCAACGAACATGCCATACCGTGACAACTCTTTTGATTTTATTGTTTGCGTCGAAGGTGGCCMTCACTTCAAAACTAGAGAAGATTTCTTTGACGAAGCCTATCGACTGCTGAAACCAGGAGGGAAGCTGTTTTTGGGTGATCTGGTCCCATGTTATCGATACAGTGATTATAGCTTTATTCAAAAAATGTTCTTAAAGTTAACTGCATGGTCCTGGGTGTGTCCCCCTGAAAACCTCGAATATGGAATTGAGGGCTACAAAGAAAAGATCAAAGATCATGGTTTCAAGCTATCAAAATTTGAGGTTATAGGCGATCGAGTAATTCCTGGATATTGTAACCACAATCTTACCTTAGCGGTCATGAGCCAGCAAGCAATGGTCAGAGGTCCATATGTTGGTTTCTTTGCTGGTCCAATGGTTGACATCGCGCTCACACTGGGCTACTACTTCGAGACTTTTGATTATGTCATGGTTGTGGCTGAAAAGCCACATTCAAATTAAATGAAATAAATTCAATGAACAATTCACGTCATTTCATTTTGTGTGTTTTTTTTTCTGTCTGTCTGTCTGGATCTGTCTGTCTGTGTCCCCTCAAAAAAAAAAAAAAATGTCCCAAAAACTTGAAAAGTCCCGTTCGATCGATTTCAAGTTGTCTAATTATAGAGGATTAAATCAAGATTCCTTCCGGGGCTGTATCATTTAGAAATCATTTTTAAAACCTTATGTCCCCATAACTATGGTTTAAACCAAAGTCCCCATAAATTGTCGGTAAAGTGTATGTCTCATTTGAGGTCTGTTTCCTTTTAACCATTAGACGAAAGAAAACCCATCAGCAAGTTACCTATGGAATAACAGACATTTTGATATGGAGTGGTGGAGAACACGAGCTCTTCTAGAAACAAGCATTTAAAAATGTTCTCTAAATCTCCCCAGTGGTCTTAGACAAAGAAGAACCCTAAGAAGATCCACCTAGGGAAAGCGAGGGAGGAAGATGATGGATATTATAAAATGATTGAAGCTAAGAAAACAAAATAAGACGAAGAGATAGCGAAAACAAAAAGAAGAAGAAGAAGAAGAAGAATAGGGCGAAGACAATTAAAAGAAGCTACATGAGGACACTAAAATTAAAATTAACACTAAGCAATTAACACTAAACTTGCAATATATTAAGTAATGCCCCGAGTAAGAACTAGGGAAGCAAACGGCATAGGAATGCAAGAAGGTGCTAATTGCGCATTGTATAATCCATCCATCCCATTGGTTAAAACATGAAAATCTGCTATAATTTCACAAGTTAGGGAATTTTCTAATATTTTATTTAATGTCTGTTTTCGCTTTCATGAAAGCTTTCTTTAGCTTCAATATTAAGGCAATTCTACGTGGGGAACATWGCAAATTAGAAGCATCTTTTGGCTATTGTTTTGAGTGCTTATGATTGGATAAGAGCTTTTAATACAAAAGAAACTTTGTTTCAAAATAGAGTTTATCAACATTTTATTTCAAAAATGTGTTACCCACAGATGGRTACATDATCAGWGTGMAAACCAAGACATTCGTACATGGGGAACTTGCTATGCCGCAGAACAATAGAGAGTTCCCTAGTTCTTTAGCGCATTGTTACTTAAGTACAAATAAGTACATTGATCTTTCTATAGCATAGAAATTCCTCGTTGAGGTTCCTTGCATTTTAACACAGTTCATCCAATACATGAAACATACAATTTATCTAAATGTGTGCATATCTACAAATACTTGCAAAAACCATGCATCTAAACTGAATTACATAACAATAAAACGTTTCTTAGAAACAGTGAAATTCATGAATTCTTCTTATCGTGATTATCTTCGAATATCTAACCCAGCTATTTCACTGTACATGTAAGAAACTATCAAAATCACAAATAACAGACCTATCATCTGAATATTGGGATATTTTTCTCCATCGATGAATAAATAGAGGATTATTGGAATAAAAAGAAAGAGATACATCAAATCTATGTCATCGACAAAGCGTCTTTCTGGGGCTTCTGCAGGTTCTTCAGGATCTTCGTTTTGGCCTTCCATGATTGTACGATACGATTTACCCCCTTGGCTTGTGCTAACTGAAAATAATCATTATTTATATAGATTCTTATAGCTGTCAGTTCGCTCTTAAGGCCTCTCAAATAAGTCGTTTTTACGAGCTATATATACCTCTTCACTTCAAATCACAACTATAGTAGTGTGTCTTACGGATACGTTATTTACATGAAACTTCACCAAAAATCCATTGATATGGAAGGGTGTAGGAACAAAGCAAATCGATCTCATCTACTTCGCTCGCGAAGTGACATATTAGAATGCATGACTTGGAATGAAAACAAGTCAACGCAACTATTCTGGATGAATGAACAAGATTTTTTTCCCCTTAAAGATTGCGTAAAATGAACCTGCAAGGACTTGTCCCAAGTGAACGTAATCACGATTGATATATATGTTCTTTTAGTTGCCAGTTTTTTCTTGGCGTATATTACACTAATATTCGCCTAGCAGTTGTACAATAATTAGTTTAAATCTATGAGGAGTCAAGGGAATGAAATCGTCGTTACGAGTTAGACTTATAACTTCAAAAACGAATTCCTATAAATTTTAATGATTATCTTCGACAAACTTTCCTACATCTTGTCATTGTTATACCTTGTTATGCCTCATTGAGACTGGAAATATTATGATCATCTCATCCAAATCAAATATTGACGAACTGTTATAAATATAATTCCAGTGATTATCTATTTAAAAATCTTGTTTTAACTCTCGAAGAACTTCCCTCAAAAATCTAAAATCTTCTCGATGTCTGAATGCATAGTCAAAAGTCCTGGAAAACAAAGATTCTGTATTCTTCAATTCTTTTAAATTATTATCTGTATTTCTTATTTTTAGAATGACTTACCTTAAGTCTTTATAGGCCAAACAGCGTAAGATAGCTTGTTGACTTGACTGTTTACAGCAGCTGTAAGTTCGTTTCCGCTTAACCCTCACTTCAGACGATATTACAATAGGTGGTTGTATCAAGGGGAAACCCCATGACATCGGCAGGTGATGCGCATGATGGGAGTTAATACAAAAATTCGTGGAAACATCATGATACCTGTAGGGTATTTTAATTAAAAATGTTTGAAGCAAAGCTGCAAATGTCTTTTTTTAAGATTTAGGATAAATGCAGCTAAGCTTTAACTTTAAAAAGAAAGAAGTGACAATTCAAGTTTCATCTACCATGACTTAATAAACGTTATGTTCTCGGAAAAGCTCAAAGTCTTCGCTATTTCAATTGTTTCACGGTTTGGGTTTCCCGCTGTGCCGTCTGCAATTCTAACCATGGCTTTGCATATCAAAGCGAAACGTAAAGCGTGAGACAGAAGCCTTCTTTAACTCATTAAGACAATTATTCGCAGGTATCTCTCACTTTATCCTCAATCAATGATCTTCTCGCTTCTCGATGCAAAAGAATGACTACCTTTCGAGAAGGCATAAGGAACTGCAATGGAGAAGTTTGTGATTTGCAGCATACTGATTTGCATTATTCATATTTGGTTTAACTTCGACGCGTTCATTATTTTTCTTGCTTTTATAATGAAATCTTTCCTTCGTGTGTTATATATATTTGCCAAGGTATGTCATTTATTCCTGCGAATACTACTACGAAAACATCGCTTTAGAGCGGATTTCGTATGAGTGGGAAGCGGACGGTACTGTATTGTGACCGTAATCGTACTGTAACCAAATTCTAGTGCCCCATTGGTTCACCAAAATTGTGCAGGCCAGGTCCGGTAACTGTGCGATAACCATGCGGTAACAGTGTCCCACTCATACAAAATCCGCTCTTTGTTGTATCAAATTTGTAGATTTGCCGCCTTTTAGCAGTTACGTTTCAAGGACCACATTGGGTGGGGAAGGCTCGCATAGAAAATTATGAAGTTCTATATTTCTTGCGCATTCTTTGAATTATTTTATTTGCTTAGGTTCTAGAAGTGCATCACAAAATCTGATCATGCACTAATTGTCTCATTTGTTACATTTTAAAACCATATTTTTTATAACAATAAGCGTTCATGAATGACTGAGAATTGATGAGTGTTTCATTACTATGGACGAAAATAAGAACTATTTTTATGTCGAGGCTTTACCAGCTGCTGTATTTAGTAATTTTTACCGGTACTGACCTCAAGGCAATGTGGTATTGAATCTGGTTAATTCTTTCATAATTATGCATTAGGTATGACTGTCTCTGGCTCAGTCTGTCTAGTATTATTTTGAGCAAATCGTTCATCATTGGATTCTTAACGAGTTATTGCGAATAAATTATACAGATTTCAGTTCACAAAATTATGTTCTAACAAGAGCATGCAAGTTACAAAGTACAATTCTCGACTGTTGAAGTCATGCTTTACGGCATGTACCAATATGTTCTTTAAAAATACTAAAATTGTGGCAAAAGACTTACTAGTTACTGCAATCATTCCTCTTCACATTTCAAACGTTTCCAGATTTCTATAAGCTCGTTCACTCGTTCAAGGGAAAGCCATCCCTTCAAGATTCCATCTTCTTCTAAAACTGTAGCATATTCATGAAGCGACCACTCGCTTATTCTTGGATGTGCTTCTACATTTCTTGAATCTTGTAGAGATTTTATGGCTTCTTCTAATTCCTCACTCCAGTTTAACTTGGATTTTAAGACTTCCCAACGTTCTCTAGCGGCCGTTTCTTTCTTCATCGGTTTTGACAAGTTTGCTGACATCTTTCTCGATATTCTTTCTTCACTTTGTAGCTACGATATTGAGAAAAGTATTTCGGTAAGACCTTTTTGTACATTTTACCTTGAATTTGCCAGCACAATTCTCCAAAATGCAACAAAGCCGCATTTTGCGATGATGGTAGAACAAGAAGTCTTGGTGGTTCAAGCATTGATACAACGTGGGTTTCTTTGAGCTGCTTCACTTCTTTCTTAAGCTTTTCATTTTCTGTTGTCAATTTTTCCTCTGTAGTTTTCAGGCTGTACTCAACTTTTTGTAAATCCTCTTTAAGCCTTATTTTCTCTTCCTCATCTGACCTTGAAGACTCGGTTAGGGATTTCACATCGCTTTCTAGCCTTTTGACTTTAGTCTTAACTTCCGACAACTCATCTTGTAGGTCCTTCTTCTCATCTTCGAGCGTTTGGATTCTGTGCTTTAGTTGTTCGACCTCCCTGTCTTTTGTGTTCAATTTGATTTGAAGATCGTTGTTTTTCTCATGAATTTCTTTCAGTTTCTGACGAAGGTCAGCTATCTCCACTTCCTTTTCTTCGAGTCTTTGCTTCAAGCATTCTATCTCTATTTCGTGTTTATTAGCCAAACGCACACCTCTGTCAGGCATCAATATCTGACTCAGGGCTATTTCACTAATACCCAACGGTACTGACTTTTCCAGATCGATTGTTTGGTTCCTTCCGAGGATTTGACGCTCTTGCTGGCTCATTTCGGTACAGTCTAGCTAGGTTGTGGATTCTTTCACTTTAGAATTAGCTAGACGAGAGTACCAGATCATCAAGCTTCACCTTCCCTTCGTTATGAACAGTTCAGCGAAGTAACGTGGCGCCGCTCTTTTCATTACTCTCATTGGCCAATATGAGTCACGTGATAGAGATTCCACATCTGTTCCGAGAAATCGAGTTCGGAGAATATTCTACAAAGACTTTATTTTTATTCTTGACGTGACAGGAAATATTTATTAAGAAAAAAATAACATAATCTTACTTCTTACACGAAATATAATTGTGGATGAGGCACGGGGAATTAACATTGTCAATTATTTCAACGGACCGTCATCTGTAAATGGAAATGCTTACTCAACCAAAATATCTTAAGTTCATTATTACAGTTATCTTAAAATTATTTCGTGAGACATCGACTTATTTGAGACGTTGATATTGAGATTGGTTCTTAAATCTGTGTCGAAGAAGAAATCCTGAAAATAAAAATTATCATTATCTGATTTTGCTAAAGGCTGATTTACACGGTACGATTTGTCGCGCGCGACTTGTAGTATACGATTTTCCTACTACAAGTCGTAGGATTTTAAGCAGTGGTTCAAAATCCTACTAAAAGTCGTAGGTTTTACTCACAGATTGTTGACTTCAAGCACGATTACAACGAAGGGTTCTTAACGTTTGGACTGTGGAAAACCAAGTCAGGTGACCCTATACCACCCCCTCTGAGTTACCATTCCTTATACGACGAGCTCCTGGAAGGAAGTATGATTAAACCAGATCACAACGTTCTAGACGTTGCTTGTGGCCAAGGAGCTGCGATGATGAGAATTCAATCCAAATATGGCTGTAAAATCCAAGGCATCGATATCAGCACTGGTAACGTGAAGCTTGCAAAACGAAAATTACGTGACACCGGGATTGAAATCACGCATGGTAGCGCAACGAACATGCCATACCGTGACAACTCTTTTGATTTTATTGTTTGCGTCGAAGGTGGCCCTCACTTCAAAACTAGAGAAGATTTCTTTGACGAAGCCTATCGACTGCTGAAACCAGGAGGGAAGCTGTTTTTGGGTGATCTGGTCCCATGTTATCGATACAGTGATTATAGCTTTATTCAAAAAATGTTCTTAAAGTTAACTGCATGGTCCTGGGTGTGTCCCCCTGAAAACCTC